CTCTATCCAGTAGGCGATCAAATCAGAAAGAGGCACCCACAGGTAAACACAGAGCCATACTCCTGGAATCCAGTTGTGTACAGGGCGGAGGGATGGGCACAGGAGCCAAGGCCATGCTGGAGAAACCCAAAGAAACAGCTGACCTGACCTAGTGAGAACATGAAGGTCCTAGTAGTAAATCTTGGGAACCAGCATTGAACTGAATCAAGCTCTTGATTAGTGATCAAGTTTCCGAAGTAGTTCTCTGAACTTTGCCTCTGCTGCCTCTCCCTAGGTGAACTCGCCTGGAAGCATTTCTTCTCAACCTTGTAACCAACAATGGGGACACTGGATTCGTGGTGTGAGAAGTTACTTGAGGGGCTAAGTTAAGGAGCACAGCTGATTCTTGAATGGGTCTGGGACAGGGAATTTGCAGTGGATGATGTGTCAAGAGGGACAGTACACACTGGAGTGTTAGACCTCTCCTGAGATCCTCAGCCAAGATTCACAAGAAGTTCTTAGACCGTTTTCTGATTCTGGAAAAAATGCCAGGACCTTGCTCTTATGAACAGGATATGCTGTTCCCAAAACCAAGGGGATATGGAAGGTTCCAATACAATTTGCATTTAAGCATTGAGCAACATCTTGTTCTTGAGCTACAGCTGTGTTGGGAATTGGAGCTTCTACTAAGACTGGACCTTCAAATACTGCTGGATCTGCCTGGGATTCAGCTAGTGTGCTTTGATATGAGTCAGAAGCTGCAGTGAGGGATTGACTATCAAATAGGTGTTTGTGGAGATTACACCTGGCATCCTCTACATCCAGATCATCCTAGAGAGAAACTTGTAGCCTGGGGATGAGATTGGGAATGAATCCCACAATGACTGTGCTGGGAGACAGGGACTCTATATTGTCTGAAGCAAGGACAGATGTGAGACCGTTGGAACAGATTGACCCAGAAATAGCATTAGAATCATTCACTTGACTTTGGAAGTCCTACTTGAATATTCTGGGGATCCTTCTTTTGTACCTAGCATGTTGGTTCTTGAACAAGATCTGTAAGGGGTTAATAAATATTTCAGAAGAAGACATGTGTTCCCAGTTGAACATGCTGGACAGAAATAATGGCTCTAGCGACTACCTATATAAAAACAAATATCTGTGGCTCTAAAACAAAGAAGGAAGTTAGGATAGTTTATGATGTGACACAAAATAACTAGGGAAGCTTCACAAAGAATATCTGGTGTTTCTAACAGTCTCTAACATCTGATCATTGAGGGCATGAGATTTTTTTCCTTTGGAGTAGAGAGTACTTTCCTTCTATTGCATCCTTGGAGCTTCATTACAAGCTATCTACACCATATTTATCTACAGGAAACAGAGTTTAGGGAACCCACACAAACAAAACTAACTGAGGAATTTGAGGGCATTTTGTGAGTAGGGGCAATCTGATCCAGTTATCTGTGTTGGGTGACCAGGATATTTTGGGAGACATGGTTCTGATGACAGTCATGGGGTCACTTTAGTTCACTGGCTCCTTACAGGATCTGAATGAAACTGGAGACTTGATTTGGTTCCTGCCCCTGGTAGAAGAAGGAGTCTTTTACTGTTTTGAAGACTCACTTTGCACGAAAAGGATTGGTGTTTTTGTAGCTCAGGACTTTCACATGATGAATTTGAACTGCAATAGGTGGCAAGTGGAACATCACATTCTGCACAGGTGGGCTTGTTGTGAGATCCACAGACAGACTTCCCAGGAATTTCTTTAGTCTTCTGATTGCCCCTAGCTCAGCTATAGTCATGAACCAGATCTGGAAAGACAAAAGAGAGGGGAGATCAGCAGAGGTTAGGGATCCCCTTTAGGTCCCAAATCTGAAGATGCTAGATGAAAAGCCTGGACCATGGTCAATACCAAGCATCTATCACAGATCTCTAGTCATCCTAGACCCAAGAAGCAGGAAGACAGGATGATCTCTATTTGAAATGTAGAAAATAGGGGAGGTTCTACTTGAAGCTAGAGTTTAGAAGGAAGTCTGAATGCCTAGGCCACTAAGACACACTTATCCCTCTACATTGCACTAATGTGGTGCTATAATTGGGTCATGGGCATTAAATTGAAAATTTAGATACACCATCATTGCATTTGTAAAACCTGTTGCTGGTCCAAGTAGCCACAATACTGGACAGGAACCAGAAGTTCAGGAGTCAGTAAAGTTTGAAGGTAGCTGCTTGGTATAGGTTATCTGACTATAAGAAAGGGAGACCCATGAGAGGCCATACCTTGAGATGTTACTCCTTCAAAGCAAATATTTGAGTCATTGTCATCCATTACTCCTGTTCAGGTACATGAACTCATCAAAATGTTCTTGCAGATCAGCTTTTGCTCCTGGCTGAACACTGTGCTTTTGCTGCCTCCTTGGATCACCACATTCTCTAGCTCCTACACTCAAGCACCATAGCATTTGCTGCAGGTTTGATATACGTCATCATGCTCAGGTCTGTTCTGTGGCAGAACACTGCACAAAAGAATAGTAGGTGGGACAGTGTCCTGGGGTCTCAACAGCACTCTTGTGTTGCACCCTTCCCCCATGGGAGTCTGCTGTCCCAGCTTGTGACTAGGAGCTTTTAGCAAAATACCTCTTATCGCCTCCTCCCAGTAAAGCCTGCATGCAAGTTCCTGTTTTCTGTAAATACTAATTCCTGTATGTGCCCATCATTTGCCAGAGGGCCCTGGGAACATAGGCTTCTGCACTTGGTGGTTTTCCACCCTGCCTGACTGGTATATGAGGCTCTGCGCTTGTTAAAAATAAACGCCATTCTGCTTGCAAGGAAAAGCCACTATCTTTGTCCTCATTTACATCCTTAGCCCTTTGCCAGGATCTTTGTGAAGTGTTGTAGCCTGGTAATGGGGAACAACAGCTCGCTACACACCTGCTCTGCCCACCACAATCTCTGCCCACGTTTGAGTATCAGTGTTAGCACCTGAACGTAAACAAGCAAACAGCTCCTCAGTTTTCACCGGACTTTAAGCCCAGCAAGCTGGGATATGGTGAAGTTCAAACTCCAAACACGCATAAATCTCCAGTGTTACCAAGGCTAATTATCTTTTAGCTCCCTCTTCCACACAAGACAGCCTCAACAGCATACCTATAATACACACACTTCCTTGTGGACTCAGCTTCCTGCTAATCAGTAGGTGGATTCACCTTGTTCAGACCCATCTCTGTTTTACTTTTCCAGAGACCAGTGCTTAAATGTCTTCCTTAGACCAAAATCCCCCCCCATTTTTGGCTCTTCACAGGCTGCCCTTAATTTCAAAGAGATTACCATTCCTTACCTTCCTGAGTGCTAGCATCAAAGGTGTAGGTAATCTGGACCCCACCAGGTTTAATCACTATGTGCAAACTAACATGGACTGGCAGGATTATGTAGAAAATGGAAACTGAGAGTATTGGCCTGGTTCACAAATGTCTAACTGTAGAAGAACTTGGAACTTGATATGTTGCCCCAATTTGTAGTCTTACAATTAAATGCCAATTCGATGAAGGTTTATAGAACTTAGGACCATTTACGTCTACATTGCATGTCGGGGCAGCAGGCCTGTCTTCTCTTGGGTAGAGAAAGAAAGATCATGGGGCAAAGTCAGCCTGCATTAACTACATAGTGGCTCCAAATCCTTCCCGAGTTACAGGAGACTCTGTCTCAAAAGGGAAAAGAACCATCCAGGAGCAACATACAAAATCTCTCCTGAGTCTCTAGGTGTTCAAAGGAAAAGAATAGTCATATACTCTTATTATCAGAGGGCACGTAAGAGACAGACCAGGCACACAGAGATGTTCAACAGCGACGTAGAAACCTGTTCTAAGAGAACTGTAAAATCAAGGACAGTCTGGTAACAAAATAACTTTGAGGTCAAGCAGGCATGCATGATCATAAATCTTCTGAGATGTTTGGCTGAATAATCTTTTATTTAGCAATTACAAACATTTACAACAAATTGAAGTTACATGTGATACAGTCTTTAATACAGTAGGTTTTTTTGGTTTTTGGTTTTTGGGTTTTTTTTTTTTTGGTGTTTCGAGGAAGGGTTTCTCTGTATTATTTTTTGTAGCCTGTACTGGAACTCGCTTGGTAGACCAGGCTGGTCACGAACTCCCAGGGATTCACCTGCCTTTGCCTCCTGGGTGCTGGGATTAAAGGTCTGCACCACCAACACCGGGCTAACACAGTAGTTTAAACAGACTTGGAATCTATATTACTACCAAAAGTAAAAAAAAAACCACTTAACATTCTACTTTGCGTTTTTCTATAGTACAAAATGAGATCAACTTTCAAATATTTTCCTAAGTGACAATACTAGATTCTATCCAGGTTTAAGGCAAATACATTGGGAGTGCGTTGGCAGTTTCTAAGAACAGGAAGAATCTTAGGCCTCACAGGTTAGGGTGGCAGCCTCCGGTATACCTGCTGGTACATATATTGCCCCTCATGTCCTGCTGGCACACTGGTTCTGGGAGGGCCACTAAGACAAAACTCGTTGATGGGGGCAGGCAGAACCAGCCTTCCCTGCAGCCACAGACAGACTGTATTTCCAAGGACGTGATCCTGACTTTACCTCCCTGAGGGCCAAGTTCTGGGCAGCTCCTGTTCTTTCAGCGGGCACAGAAACTGCCAGGCTCACCAGGTCTCTTGTTCTAGTTCCTGATAGGGTTCCTGGGTTGACCCAGAACTGGGAGATCAGTCCAAAGGGTCATGAGGCTTGGAGGGGTAGTGCTTGGAGCAACTACCCAACTTTTGGGCCTCCAAAAACAAAATACATTAATAGCTCCTTGGGAGGATCTTGTCCTGCAGCATGTGAGTCATCTTTCAACACACTGTCATTCAGACTAGTACACAGGTCAGGTGACCCATAGCAAAGCTCAGTCATCATCATTATCACCATCTCCACCATAGTCATCACCATCATCATATCACCATCATCCCCATCAACACAGAAACCATCATCACCATCATCATTACCTTCAAAAGAGAAACATATCATCAAGTCCATCATAATAATCACCACGATCAGCATCACTGTCATCACCATCACCACTATCCATTTGCTCATGCATGTTTCCAAAGTCATAGTTGACACCCAAGTTGGGCAGGCCTCTCAGGGCTCCCACTTTCTTGGCTGTCTTCTCCAGTGGAGGGCCGATGCATTTGAATGTGTTTTCTCCCTTCTTCCTTCTCTGCTCCTCTTCAGCCTCCTTTTCAATTTCCTTAATCAGCTTTTCGTCGTCTTTAGTAGTGGCTGTCCAGAGGGAGCACATGGTACATTTCTGGCAGGAGGCTCCTGGAGAGAGGGGATGCTGGCAGAAATGGTCATGGTCATCCATAGAAACTCGACAGAGGTAGCACATATGGGCACCACAGCAGCAAGACATGTGCTTGCAGCCTTCGGATTTGATGAGGCTGGTGCCACACTGGGGGCATTTTCTAATGCGAGCAGTAGCCAATTTTTCTTCAATAGGTGTCCGGTACTTGATGTCATCCTTTTCAGCCAGCTCTTCACAGGTGAGGCCAGAATGTTCTTTCCAGAGTCCCTGACACTTCCTACAGGTCTCCTTCAGGCAGCGAGGATTAGGGCAGCTGAATCTCTTCACATCCTTGTCCAACAGAGCAGGGAAGCCACAAGAGGGGCACCTGACGAGCTCATCAGCACAGGCTCCAGTGACTTCTTCTTCAGCTCTCCATTCATAGTAGTTGGACAGGATGTTCGGGAGGAGCACCTTCTCCAGTTCACTGGTTGGGAAGAAAGATGTGCAGGTGCGTTCCATGAAGCTGAGTTCTGACTTTCCAGACACCAACTCTGCCCCTTGGGCAAATCTGATGAGACATTCTTTGCACAACAAGTAACCATCGGACCACTGTGTCAGCTCCGCAAATTCAAGCTCCCCATAGCAGCATACACACTCAGTCAGCTGTCCATAATTTTCATACTGGTCTGTATTCGTCTGCAGGGCAAGCAAACAGTCTTCACGCTCTGCCTTCTCTTTCATTTTCTGCTCATAGAATTCCTGCTCTTGCTGCACAGCTGGAAGGAGGTCTTTCTGGTCATAGAATCTACAGTGTCGACGCTTGTTTTCCAAAATGAACATCCTCCTTTCTATTTTTATGTTGCCCTGTTCAAATTTGAAATCTATGAAAGACTGATTCATTCCTTTCTTCTTTTTCTGTTTTCCACTGGGTTCAGATGATTCCTTTTGCCATTTTTCAATAGCATCAGAAAGGGCCTTTCGAGTGATTGCATAGTGTCCTTTGAGCTCATGGAGGGCCCACTTGATGTCTTGATTGCTGAGCATCTTGAATTCAGCCATCAAGAGGTCAGCAGCTTGGAGGAAGCATGGCTTGTCAAGTGGAGTCAGTTTGGAATAGTCAAAAAGTCTACTTTAGGTACCTTCACATCACCCTGAGTGGCAAGCAGGCTGCTACTGGGTTGGGTAATAACTAGGTCTTTTATCTTTGGATACTGTTGGTTTTCCCTAAGAAAATTACGAAGTACATTCCAATCATGGCAATTCTTCAAATGAATGATGTCTTTAACGTATGCATTTGCTACATCTGTTCCTTCCAGTAATAATGTAACAAGTTCATGATCTATTTCACCAGCTTCTTGTCCCCACGTGCTTTTCAAATTGTCCTCCTGGGTTCCTGGCAGGGGGAAAGCTGGTGCAGGGTCTTCATCAAGTATTAAGTGCTGATCTTCAAGTTCTCCCAGAGGATGGGCTGGCTGAGGAGAAGCAGGACTGGGAATCCCTTCTTGCTGTGGCTGTGGCTTTGGGACATCATGACACAAGACCATTTTGCCCATTTCTGCTTCAGAATGAGTCTCTTGGGGTATAACTTGATTTGTTCTTTCCTGAGGCTGTGGATTTAGATCCTGGAAGGATGTGTGGTCAAGCAAGTTGTCTCCTTCACTTACCTGGTCATCAACTGAAGTAGCTGTCTCTCCAGGATTTGATAAGAGATTTGTCTCTGATTCTTCAGGCAATTGGTTCTCAACTTCCAGAGACTCACTTTCTGGGAAAAGAAGGATATTT